GCCAGGACTGAGCAGCTCCCCACTCTATGCACAGTGTTCATCAGGGGACCACAACCTCACAGCAAGGAAGTCATTCACAAAGGTCCACCCTGGGGTGGAGCAGGAGGAGCAACACCAGCAACATTTCCATGATCTCCAATCTGTTAATGGTTTGCTCAGATTTCAAGCAAATTGCTCTTATTTATTTGGATGGACATCATATGGCTTTAAATTCTATGGCCCTTTTAAACAGAAATACAATACAAACTTGTCTCCTTTTTCAATAATTTTCACTGAAAAGGCTCAGATGTTTGAAACCAAGACAAAGGGATAACCAATTATCACTGGCTGTGAGCTGCTGTGTGCTCTTCATTATTACTTCCCTACACTGGGAGCATGTCTGGAAACCCAGTCAACTGTAGTCCAGACCAACATTGCTTTTTTTTTTCTTCCAGCTCTGCTTTTTACAGACAGCATTTTTTTTTTTTGGTACTGGGGATCGAACTCAGGACCTTGAGCTTGCGAGGCAAGCACCGAAACCACTGAGCTAAATCCCCAGCCCTCAGCTCTGCTTTTTAAAAATGTCATTTATTCATTTTTGAACTAGACAGAAGTGATAGTTGTGCAACACTGTGGAATGTATTCAATACTATTCAACTGTACACTTGAAATTTTATGACTTCTTCTCTCAATAAAACAATCATTTTCTCCAATTTTCACAATTTAGAATTTGGCTAAATAAATAAGGCTTCTTCTCCAAGTAGTACTAGAGATACAATCTTACCCAGGGTCTTCTGTTAATCCAGACGACTGAAATGATGTATATGTAGCAACATCATTTATCTCAATTAAAAAGATACCAGATTTTTAAAATTTTATTAGAGGGTCGGGTATGGTGGCACACATCTGTAATCCCAGCACTAGGGAGGTGGAGGCAGGAGGATCACCATGAGTTGAAGGCCTTCCTAGGCTACATAATGAGTTCAAGGACAGCTGAACTACATAGCAAAACCATCTCAACACCTCCCAAAATAAAATTTTTAAAAATAAAAATTTTTATTTATTGATTTATTTTTTGGTACTAGGGATCAAACTCAGGACCTCGCGCTTGCAAGGCAGGAGCTGGAACCACTGAGCTAAATCCCCAGCCCAAAAATAAAAATTTTAGAAAGCACTTAATATTCATTTCAGGATTGCAAAGGATAACGCATAAAAAACAAACTATTTTCTGTGGTTCCCTCCACCCCAAAGAAGAGAATAACTGAAACCACGCGACTTGGCATAATGGTTGGTGGAAGCCTACCCCTGAAGAGTCTAGGTATCATTACTCCATTAGTGATAATGGTTATTGATCTAGCCTCTTAGAAAAGCCAGCAGGAAAAATGGAATATTTCAGATAGTAAGAATTTTTAAATCTATTGATTCCACTGGGGTAGATTTGTTTTTATACATAATTATGAGTCTTTTGCCACCCATGCCCCCACTACCCAGTTAAAACTGCTTAACCATGGGCTGGAGATTTAGCTCAGTGGCACTGAGCCTGCTTTGCAAGCAGAAGGTCCTGAGTTCAATTCCAGTACGGGGGAAGGGACAGGAAAAAAAAAGATTGCTTAACCAGTAACTTCAAGGAAATTAGGAGTCCAGAACCTCTTCTCCCCTCTGAGGCAGGTACCAACAGTCTATTTAGAGTATCAACTTCTCAGGAGGCTATTAAAAGCCAAAGGACAGGACAGCTCAGGGGTCCCACCTTACTGCAGGGGTTATATCTAGCCCAAGACTTCCAGTGGGTACCTGAAACTGAGGATGGTCCCAAACACTTTACCACTTCCCGCATATTTAATTTGCAAATTAGGTACAGTAATAGAACAATTATAACAATAAAATAAAGGTTAAGACTTGTGAATTGCTTGTTTCTCGAGTTTTCCATGTAATTATTTTCAGACCATGGATGGCCCTGGGTAACTGAAACCAAGGAAAGCAAAAATGTTAAGTGGTGACTATATTGTCAGACAAGTGGGGAATATCTCTGCATTCATGTACTTTAATGGCCTCTCTTCCTTTTCAAAATACTGTACCACACATTATTTCTAACCTGGTCACCCAGGCATAACCATCACTCTGCACAAATCCTAACATTACCAGGATGAAAAAATTTTAACTCCCGTATCATCAGTATTTGTCTTTTTTTTTTTTGGTTGATAAGTCTTGTTATGCAGTCCATGCTGGCTTTCAACACATTATGCAGTGCAGGCTAACCTCGAACTCGCAGTGATCCTCCTGCCTCAGTCTCCTGGGTGCTAGGATTACAGGTGTACACCACCACACCTGGTAGTTATTTCAGCCTTCTAAAAGAGATTTCAAGAGGGCCAAGGATGTAGCTCAATGGTGCTGGTGTCTGCACGTGCCTGGCAACCACAAGGTCCTGAGTTTGATCCCCGGTACCGCCAGGAAAAAAAGAATGATAAAGAGAGCTCAAGAGTTTTCTGCACACTTTCTACATTCTTCTGACTTATTTTTAGTTACTTATTTTGGTGCTGGGGGTTGAACTCAGGCCTCACACATGCTAAGCACACACTACCTATACTGAGTTGTATCGCAGGGCTAATAACTTTCATACAAGGGAAGTACAGTGGTGTAAGTAGTTACCATTCTGAGCACCTGCTACATGTTCACTTTTTTCAAGTAGATATCACTCCATTTTACAGATGAGGAAAGTGAGTCAGATGTAGGCCTATTTCCTCAAAATCACAGTAAACAGGTTTGTAAAAAACGTCTTTATTTAAGACATTGTAATTTCCTCCATACTTTGCCAAGGAGCAGAAACACAAATAGAACAAAAAGACAACCTTCCCAAATCTGAATATAAAACGTTTTATAATAGGTTCCATTCCCGAATAGCAACTGGAATTGGCCCAGTAGGATGCCATAATTTTTAAGGTTTGTATTCAAAACTGCCAAGTATTTGAAATAACTCAAATGTACTCCCATCTCTGCACTGTAATTATAAATATTTTTGTTTAAAAATTCTATTTTTGTTCTCACATCACTCAATTTTTAAAATGAGCTGAACATTTAAAAAATATGAAAATATAAACTTTTTAAAGAAAATGAACTAAAACAGTGAAAAAAGTCTTCTCTAGAAGTCACTGATTTGTCTGTTGAGGGTAAATGAAACTCTAATTTTTAGGACCAATTCCTATCTGGTGATGAAGTACTCAATTCTACCTGGCTCATCAGCTAATTTCTGCTTTACCTTGGACAAATGCCATTTGCAAACTCTCTACCAGCCCTTAGGTGCATTGCAGCCTCTGTGTCATTGTGTGACATCACTGGGTTGCTGTGGATCTAGGTGCGAGGTCACTCCCTTTCTTGTGAAACTAGAAATATGGAAAAATTAAGATTCTAAATAAATAACAAACCAAAGATATTTCCAATATTGATTATCTACAAAAACTCCAATCTGTATTATTTGAGCATGAAAACAGTGTAAAATAACTATGGCAACATTTCAACACAGCAGTACTCCCCAATTTCAGAACCAAAGCTATTACTTAATAAGATAAAAATTTTTCTTTGGAAAGGTTAACTAGTGTAATTATGAAAGCTTCAGCACTGTTACCTGCTCAGAACTAGTAGTTATTCAAGAATTAATCTGTATTATGTCTACTGCTTGGTTCACTTAAGATTTAAGGGTACACTCCACATGGGAGATGCATGTTAAAACCTTTGTTACATAACACAGGAAGTTAAATATTAAGATAGTGGGAAACCTGTACCACTAATTAGATTAATTCTTCCAGTTTCATCTTATAATATTCACTACTTCCCCCTCCTCTAACATCAAACTGGTTGCCAAACATCAGATAAATGTAGAGTTACTGACAAAATGGAGCAACACAGGCTGGAATTTGCATCCCAGACAAAATGCGACAACTCGAGATTAGTATTCTCTTTTCATCAGCATGAGGATGCATTAGCTTAAAAAATAAAAAAGCTTCGGATACATATAACAAAACAAATTTTTTTTAAAAAGACTTTTTTCCCTTTAAAATAACTCCTCCCAGCCTCCACCCAGTCTAGGCTCTCTGCAATATGACAAATGCAGAATCTTCTGGAATGACTTGATACTGCCTCCCACCACCGCTTTGTTTGCAATATCAAATCAGACAGAATATATTCTTTTCAACTTTAGGAATTTCAACAGACACGTGCCTGCATTCAGAAAAGAAACAGCATATGTCACAAACTGAACCAGTGGGCTAAAGATCACAACCTTTATTTTAAAGGTAATACCTACCCTTTTCAATACAAAAAACGGTAAGAGAAATGGAAATGACAAGTGGAGAACAATCAATGGAAATACCAGAGAGACAAATGTCGCCCTCCTTCCTAAAAGAGCCTAGAGGATTTGCTTCGGGGAAATGGAGAAAGAGGAGCCTTTTGTTAAGAAAAACGTGAGCCAGGTTTCGATTTTGCACCACGGAGCCCAGGTTTTCAGGAGAGCCTACGTTTTTCCCGGGGAGTTTCATTAAAAGATCTGTCAGGAGAGGCAGTGGGGAAGACTGGGGGTGGGGGATGGAAAACTGGGAAACCTGCTGAGTGAATGGGAAAGGCGCCGCCCAGACACCAGAGAAAGAGGAACCGCATCCATGCGGTCCCCAGCCCCCACGCCTAGGCTGGGAGGAGGGGAAGTGGGGCACAAAGGATGCGCACGACCCCCGCTCAGCTCCTCAGCGGACCCAGGGGCCTGAGACCCCGCTCCCGAGACCGACCCCGCCCCAGCCGGAGCCTGGGGAGGGCCTCGCAGCAGCGCCGCCGGGCTTCGGGGCCGCGGGGGAGAGGCCGCGTCACCGCCGGGGTCCCTGCAGCTATGGGGACCCTTCCCAGTCCCTTCGCTGAGTGACGTGGGGAGGCCACCTGCCGTCGCACACAGGCAACGCGCCCCCGGGGCCTTCCGCGCCTAGGACAGCGTCTCGGGAGGGGCCGGGGTGAGGCGGGGGGGAAAGGGAGGAGACACTCACGTTCTTCATGGCCGCGGCCATGTCGTCGTAGCGCTCCGCCTGCTCGGCCAGCCGGGCTTTCTGCACCAGTTGCTCGCGGTCCACCATCTTCGCGGACTGGGTCGGGCCGGAGGAAGAAGACCTGGATGGCCTGGTACGGGTTAAGGAGAGAGGCTGCAGCGCGGCTTGGAGCCCGTGTGCCAGAGGGAATGACCCACGAAGTGAGGGCTAAGGAGGAGGAGGTGGCACGAGCTGCGACCGCGGAACCAGGCGCGAAGCGGCTGCGGCTACTGTGCGTGCCGCGGGAGGACAACCCCCTGAGGTCCCGCCCACGCCGCGTGACGCAATGGCCACGCCCACCACGCGCCCCGCCCGGGCCCTTCCCTGCCTTGCTCTTCTGGCGCCCCTCGAGGTTTGCCGATATCTTCTGGGCGTCTCCCCACTTCTCCAACGCTCCCTTTCCTTCACTTCATCCCGGTTCCTTAGCCCCAGCTTTTCCAGACACCCCACCGTCCTCTACTCCCCTCCCCCGCTCTTTCTGGCCTTAGGCGCTTGTCCTCTTGGGAATTGTAGTTCTCTCCTCCTCGGGCTGACGCGTTAAGGAGACCGAAGACAAAGGGACCGGTGAGACTACATCTCCCAGCTGTCGTAGCGCACAGGGGTGGAGGGAGGGCAGAGGGCGGTATTCTAACCCCGCGGCCGCTGGGGACCCCTGGTGAGGATGAGGGCTGCTTCAGTTTGAGCGTGTGCTGATTCATGCCTCACCCCATCACCGGCAGTTGGGAGGAGGCAGGGGCCTCAGTTCTAGACTGAATTTCCGACTTTTTTTTTTTTTAAAGCAGACCTTGGGTTTGGGGAAATGGGGCGTGTGGGAGGGGAAGAGGGGGCGCGCGTCCACTGACATCCAGACTTGTCCATCTACCATTATCCAGAGGCGTGCATGCCCGTGGGATAGCTGAATTAAGGGGCTAACCCCTGGAGGACTGTTACCCTGTCCACCTCAGCAAGATTCCAGTTCCCCTCCGCACCTCGAAGTTCTTGGGCTTGACTAGGTGAAATTGTGAAACGACAGATACCAGTTGGACATACTGGTTAATTTCCAGGAAGATTGCAACTGTCTTCAGGGTGACTCTGGAGGGCCCCTTCTTCCTTTCCAGAGGTATGCTGAAGATTCAATTCAGCGACCGAGAGCCTATTCGCAGCCTAACACTGGGTTGTTTTTGGAGGTTAGTTGTCCACCCTTTCTTCCCATTAAAGTCATATCCACTGAGATCAGGCTGACATTTTCTTGGTCATTCTATATAGCTCACACACTTCAGTTTTGATTGCATTATTTTATTTACTTCATATGATCAACAATTATCTATTGAGCACCTACTATGTTCCAAGCACTATTCTAAGCAATGAGGTACAGCAGTGAAAAAAACAGACAAAACACTCTCCCCAAGAAAGTAGACAAGACAAAAAAAATAAATATGAGGGTGTAGGATATAGGTCAGTGATAGAGCTTGTGCTTAGCTAGCTGGAGGTCATGGGTTCAAGCCCCAGCAACCCCCAAAATAAGAAATTTGTAGAGTACCTTTAAAAGTAGTAAGTAAAGGGCCAGGGATTTACCTCAGTGGTCCCACAGCCTACCTCAAAAGCGCAAGGTCCCGAGTTCGATCCCCAGTACCAAAAAAAAAAAAAAATTAGGGATGAACTATAATATGCATATGAGAAACTAGAATGAATTTCTGTGAGGGAATGTACAGGTTCTCTATTATATGCTGGAGGAAACCTAGAATTGTTAAATGCTGTAAATATGTTTTAAAGTTTTTCATTGTGGGGTAGACAGGAAGAAGTTCTGAAAAGGTGCTCTATGGAGCTTGCTAACATTTCCACCCACCCTTTAAAGGATTGTAGGATTTGAGAGCTGGCAGAGAGGCAGGCAGCAAGACTGGGAGGCAACTTCCTTCTGGAGATGTTAATGGGTAAGCAGGAAGTGTATCAGGTGATAGGTGTTCGGAGATGGAGTCAGGGGCCAAAACACAAGGAGTGCGGAATGGCAGGCCAAGGATTCAGGTGGGTCCTGTTTGTTTTCATTGTTTTATTTTGTTTTTGCAGTGATGGGGCTCGAACCCAGGAGCACATGCTAGGCAAGTGCTCTACCACCAGCTACACTCCCAGCACAGGAAATAGATTTTTGTTCTGAAACAAACAGAAAACCTGTGAGACATTTTAACAATGGAAAAAAAACAAAACAAACGTCTTGCCCTTTTGGCTAAGATCAAGTGTGGAAACAATGGCAAATAATTATCAGATCTGCATTTTGTCTTATCACTATTGACTGTGCAGTGCTTGTCACAGTACTTGGCACATAGTGAACACATGGAATGAAGGAATGAATGAATGCACTTTGGGGAGACTGTTCTGGCAAGAGTGTAGGAGATGGACTGAGTGGGGAGGCAGTCTAGAAATAGTTCTCCTCTCCCCTCTCCTCCAACACAGGATCTGGCCTGGCCTCTTACCACACCACCCAGCAAAATGCAATCCTGCTGGTGAATAAACCCTCCCACTTCCTTCTGTCTCTTGCAGGAGTCTTTGCCAAGTCATTCCTCTTCCTTTCTCTTCCTCCCTGTAGGCCAAATCTGAACCACTCAGGCCTAGAGCATCCCAGAGCCATGGGAATGAACCTTCCAGCCAACTCTAGTTGTTCACATGTACATGAAACAAATCAGTAATTCAGGCCCCAGATGCTGAATCTCAGGAACTTCCTGGCACATTTCAAGCCACCTCTCTGACCTCTCCACCCCAGTTCCTTCCCCCATTGGTCTACTGCGCTTGAAAAAAAGAAGAAAAAAGCCAGCTCAAGCCAAATCTGTTTGGGAAAAGTAAAGCAGATGCAAAGTAAAGGTTATTCCACAGCTAAAAAGGGATGACATCTGCACTCTCCATATCGAGGCTTCCCTCCAGTGGTGCAGGGGAGAGCTGGTCTTGCCTTCCTTTCCTTTTGATTTAAGGCTCTAGGTTTAAAACTGCCCAGCAGCCCCTCTGTGTTTAGAGCGCTTCTTCGGAGGCTGCAACATGACATAGTAAATGGGCTAATGGGCTGGATTCCCCCTTGACTGCCTGATGGTGCTTCAAGAAACCTGGAGCTGGGAGCTAGAGAATTAGCATTCCGGCTTCTGCCTGCCCCCACCCCACCTCTACATCTAAGGCCTGTCTTCCCTCTGGATCTCAGTTTCCCCACCTTTAAAATGAGAATTAAACTAAATGAACACTAAGTGCCCCACCCAGCTGTGATGAGTCATAGTGCTAGATTAGGCTTGTTCTGAAATGAAAGCTATTGGCATTCTTTATAGAAACAGAGGGGACGGGGTCTGTGACTGCAACCTGGGAGATGATTAAGGCCCACAGTGCAAGAGGCTCAGAATCATTGCTGTTTTTGTAAAACAAAAATGCTGAAACACAGAGAGGCTCTGTGATCAGCCAAAAAATCGCACTGCCAGTGACTAACAGAACCTGACTCAAACCTAGGCAGACTTTCTGGACTCTCAGGACCAAAGGCACCCTTCTCTGTCCCAGCTATGAGTCTGTACCTTGCTTGGCATCTACCTGCTCAGAAAAAGGAGGGCCCTTGCCCATTGGTGGCCAACCTGGCACAAGGGCACCACTGGTCCCCTTTTTCAGTGCTAGAGGATGTGACCTTTTAAATGCATTCTCTTGAGTTGGCAGAGGAGCAGGCCAGTCAGGGACATCAGCATCCTGCTGTTTCTGTGCAGTTATAAGTCACCGCAGCCCCATCCCCTGGCTGCTGGCTTCCTCCTGCGGCTGGAAAGGTCCCTGATTAGTGCAGAGGCAGCGGTAGCAGCAGCATCTTCTGAAGCAGAAATCGACTGAAATGCTCCTCACCCTGTCCTCTGGGAATACTTCCTTATCACTGCCCTAGAGGCTGGCCTTGAGTAGAGGCAGAGAACACCATGGATTCAGAAGCAAAGGATGGTGGGAGAATCTTAGCAGAGAGAATCTGCCACTCCTCCTGAGGATCCTGGACCGGCAGAGGAGGCCTGTTGCCAGGAAGCAGGAACTAAAAGTAGGAACCTGACTTTGACATTGAACTTGCTGGGTGACCTTGGGCAAGTTACTTTACTTCTCTGGTCTCAGACTGTGCGTCTATAAAGTAAAGAAATTAGATGGATGCTTCTTAAAATCTTTCAGTCTAAGCCAGGCATGGTGACTCACATCTGAAGTCCTAGCTACTCAAGAGGTTACTGGGTTTCCAGAGTGCTGTGGACTCCTTCAAGGCCCTTTTTGTCCTGACCAAAGAATTGAACAAAACAAGTGAAAAACATAGCGAGGTTTGACATTTACTAAAGATAAGAAAAGTCAGGAGAAAAGAAGAGAGAAGTGCTCTGAAAAGAGCACTCTGCAGAGTGATTTTGGGAAAGGAAACATGCCCTGCACACAGAGCAGGCCACTGAGAAAGAAAGACAGTGGCCATATCTTTTACATCCCCATTCTGATGTTAGATCTAGGCTGTCCCATCAAAAACCCACTTGATCTCATGCCAGAAGAATTGAAGATACCATTCTCTGACTGCTATCAAGTACAGGGCTCTTCTTCAAATATGTTCTAGCTGTGACTGACAGCCCACTTGCACAGTCAGTTTGCCACACCCTAATCACCTGCCTTGTCTCAGGGAGGCTGAGGCTGGAGAATCACTTGACCTCATGAGTCAGACGCCAGTCTGGGTAACCTAGTGAGACCCTGTCTCAAAAAAAAAAAAAACTGGGGCCGGGGATTTAGCTCAGTAGTTTTGCTGCCTGCTGCACAAGTGCAAGGACCCAAGTTCGATCCCTGGTACCCAAAAAAACCACAAAATTTAAAAAGATTTTCCGGTCTGTAGCAACAAGACTTTCACCCAACCCTGCTGTTTTAGGGTTGGTTATCCCATCCCCCTCAGTATACCACCACACCCAGCTCAGTTTTACTATAAGTTCTTCATTGCACTGAAAAAGCCAACTTTAAAGGTAAGGTAGCACATAACTGCAATCTCAGTTACTCAAGGAGGCTGAGGCAGGAGAATTGCAGTTTCAAGGCCAGGCTGGGCAACTTAGTGAGACCCTGTCATAAAATAAAAAGGGCTAGGCTGGGAGTGTAGCTCAGTGATAGGGTACTTCTGAGCTCAATTCCCAGCATTAAAAAAAAAAAAATTTTACCCCAATGGGAATTTGTGTCACTATTTTGAAAAAAAGAAAAAGGGGGGCCTCAAACAAAGAAGACACATGCTCAAGAAGCAGGGGAGCCTGAGCTAGAATCCTTTCCCCAAACCCAGCTGTATGAACTTGGGCCAAGTCCTTTACCTAGCTAAGTTTTGTAAAGAGAAGTCTACACAGTGCCCTCGGAATTGGACTGGGAATAGAATGGCAGTATTTTTTATTCTAATTATTTACTTTATTATTTTGCAGCACCAGGGATCTATAATAAGGGGCACTATACCACTGAGCTACATCCCTAGCCCTTTTTAAAAAATTATTTTGTTGTTTTTGTTTTTGCTTTTGTTTTTGAGACAGGGCCTAACTATCTAGTTCAGGCTGCCCTTGACCTCAGTATGTAGTCCAGGCTGGCCTCAAACTCATAATGATCCTCATGCCTCAGTCTCCCAAGTGCTAGGATTATAAGTGTGTGACGTGCCTGGCCTGAAAGTGAATATTTAGATACTCAGAATTTGAACAGAGGGCAAAAGATTCATGGAGGAGCCACAGCTCTGGGGATGGTGGCCTACTGATCCCGTGGAGTGAGTCTGGTATTTTGTGTGTTTAGAGAACTCCAAGCTGCAGAGTCTACCAATTTCCGCCCAATTCCAGGAAGCAAATTTTCCATCAGCTGGAGCTGTCCAGTAATAGTTTAGAAATCAGGGGACAGGGAACAACAAACAAGCAGGGCCATAAGACCTCCACTCAGAGGTGATCCTGAGGGGCCACTAGGGTCGACACCTCAACCTGGCTGGGTGTCCCAGCCCCTCGGTACATGGGGGATCTTGTCCCAGGGCCAAACTAGACACCAAATCACAATCTCCATGGGTGGGTCTGAGAATCTGTGAATTTTCAAAGTTCTGGGTGTGGGATCTTTCCCTGGTCAGCCTGGAGGACCTTGAAAGGCCCAGCAACTCTTGAAGGAGGCCAGGCTGTTTCCTGAAAAGGAAGTGAAGTGGCCGTGGGGCCCTCCGGAAGCTGGCTGCAAGGGGCGGAGGAGCTGGTATTTTCTGGCGTTGGCTGTTCTGCTGAGTCAGCCCAGCACTAATGCTTGGGGAGTACAAATCCCACTTGGTCATGAAATAGGAACGCTGGTGCTGACACAGCAGGCAGACCAGAGCCCAGGCTGTACCAGGGGCAGGAGGCGGGCGCAGACGCCCAGTGCCAGCTCCTTGCTCTGAGCCTGTAGACTGGCAGGGACGAAAGGCACTCACTCCACCCCAGCCTTGAGTGAATCGAAATGACTCAAGGCCATGGAGCCTGCCTTGTCTTCTAGGTTTCTGGACCAGCCAGGTCCCTTCCCTGTCCTGGAGTTTGGGGATGGTAGAGTGGAAGGGGCAGCAGAGGGACCCTTGCTCATCTGGATGGGAATCCCATACCCAGCATCCAGGCCCCCAATGTCACTTCCTGACAGGGTGATTTGCCATTTCCTGAGGTCCCCTTTATACAGTGGGACAGCACTCATATTCCCAGAGTCTCTGCCCATGAGTCTTCAATTTATCTCCTCGTGTCACAGGACAGAGGAAACCCTTCTTCTTCCCAATGAGGTCAGCATGTGGAAAGCTTTTCCTTTTTTGCACTGCAGAATTGAATCCCTGGATTCAATTCCCAGCACTGCAAAAATAAATAAATAAATAAATAGGTGTGGTGGCATTTGTTGATATTTGCAACTCTCTGGGAGACTGAAGCGGTAGGATCACATGTTTGGGCCCAAACAGGGCAATTTATTGAGACCCTCTCTCAAAATAAAAAATAAAAAAAGGGCTAGGGATATAATTCCGTGAAAAGGCCCTGGGTTCAATCCTCAGTGCCAATAAATAAATAGTTTATTTGGTTTCTGATTCTAGAGGCTAGGAAGTCCAAGAGCATGGCACCAACATCTGCCCGGCATCTGGTAAGGACTTCTTGCTGCAGAATAACATGGCAAAGAGCATCACATGGTGCGACAGAACAAGTACCATAGTTCAGGTCTCTATTCTTCTAAAGGCACTAATCCCATCAAGAGGATCCCACCTTCATGACATCAATCCTAGTAGTTCCCAAAGGCCTTACCAATAGTTTCTAACACTTGAACAGTGGGGGACACATTCAAATCAAAACAGGAAGCCACAACACAGATGAGGAGTCCGAGGCACGCCAAGGTTAGGTAACTTGTCTGGGTCCCACAGCCAGGAAGTGGGGTCACAAACCATGTTCTCAGGTCTCCTGCTCCTCATCCCACCTAGAAGCATCACCTTAATGGATATGGATAGACTTTCTTGTTTGTCAGCCTTTTTCAGAGGCAGTGCTACAGACCTGACTCCCTACACACAGCTAGATTCCTTTGTTTGTTTGTGGTGCTGGGGATTAAATCCAGGCCCTTCACACTGAGCTACATCCCCAGCCTTTTTTGTGTGTGTTTTTTTTTAATCATACTGGGGATTGAACTCAAGGCTTTGTGCATGCTAGGCAGGCACTCTACCACTGAGACACATCCCCAGCCCTGGCAGCCCTTTTTTAAAATTTATTTATTTATTTATTTATTTATTTATTTATTTATTTATTGAGATAGGGTTTTTCTAAGTCACTAAATAGCCTGGGCTTGGCTGGACTTGTAGTCCTCCTGCCTCATCTTCCCAGAGAGCTGGAACTACAGGCCTGCATCAACTATCTGGCCATAGCTTATATGTTCCTAACCCTCCCTATGGGAGAATGCAAAGGAGGGTAGATGGGGTGGGAGGAGACAGGGAAGTGAGAGACCGGCTCACTCATGGGATGACAGGGAGCATGGCCTCTAGTGTGTGTGTATGTGTGTGTGTGGCGGGGACAGTGAGTCAGAACCCAGGTCTACTGAGAAGCTGGAGAGAGCAGTTTGCAGGTGTCTTGCCCAGGGCTACAACCACCATGCTGGATTCAGAAGTGGGAGAAGCAGGGCGCTGGAGACCTGGCTTTCTCCAATGGCTTCCTAAATAACCCTAACCAAATGACCTGTCAGGATCCCTGTCTCTTCTTTGCAGAATGAAGAACCAGTGATCCAGGAGTTGAAAACCAGCCACTTGGGTTCCTAGTAAAACCTTTACGTGTTCTTGCCTATTTCCAAATCCCCTGAACTCCAGGCAGGAGTCAGCTGTGCAGGTCAGAAATGCTCAGGGACATCCAGGGGCTTCCTGGCTATCAGTGACATTGTGGGGATTTCCTAGGTTTTGAG